TGACCCCCACCGGTTTCTTGCCTGCTGTACAGGAGGCTGTGGGGAGGAGGAGAAAAGAGGTTGGGGGGGGGGAAAGTGGAATGTCATTGTGAAGAAGTCAAGCTTAAAGCTGCTGCATCCAGAGCCTTCTGAATTCGGCTAGACGTTTGTCATTCCTGGGACTGGTGTTTTTTTTTTTCCCTGCAGTGTGCAAGAGTTGCATCGTCCCAGCTGGTGGTGTTGCTAGAAATATGGGAGAAAGGCTGAATTCTATAAGCTGTGCCTCCGACACAACTATGAGCATATGGCTATTTTCATGTTTAGTCTGGTTTTCTTGCTTACTTTTGGGCGTTGCCAAGTTAATATGATACCAGAATGAAAACGATGAAGACATGCTCTAAAAATAATTTCCGAAACCCCTGCAAAACTAGCTGTTTAGACCATCTTGAAATAATAAACAGACTGCTTTAAATGATACAATGGGAGAAGAAGATGCTCCTAGAGTTTTCAGTGTCAGCACTTATGCAAGAATTACAAAGCTGGAACATATCCAATCCATGGTTGTCCGGTTTCTTCTTAAATCTCTCAACTGAGGGAGGAGCTATGCACCATTTCTTTTGGTATTGTTCCCATTGTTGAAAGTCTATGGAGATTCTCGGTCATCCAGGTCATGCTTGTCCCAGAGGTGCTTTTTCAGGAGGCTTTTCAAGAGCCTTGGTGGCGCAGTGGACTAAACTGCTGCTGTTAAAGTAGTACTTAGCGGTCAGCTGCCTGCAATTACTGCGAGTTCAATTCTCACCAGGCTCCAGGTTGACTCAGCCTTCCATCCTTTCGAGGTAGGTAAAATGAGGACCCAGTTTGTGGGGGCAATAAACTGACTTTGTATGAAATAGAACACCGCTCAGAGGGGCCCAGAAAGCCCTACTAAGCAGGTACATACAAAAGTATGAAGGCTATTGCTTAATGCATTGTAAGCCGCCCTGAGTCTCTGGAGAAGGGCGGCATATATAAATCGAACTAATAAATAAATAAGCTGGACTTCCTTGTTTTTTCTTTGAATGGTCTTGAAAGGATGAACGCCCTTCAAATGGTGTGGGAGTATGAATGGATTTCCAGAAAAATTGCAGACTACAAGAACCATTTGTACCACTCAAGTGACCCTGAGGTCACAGATAAACCTCCAAGTGCTTCAAGGACCCTCTAAAAGGATGCAAATGACCAGCTGTTTGCAAGGAAGATAAATCCTTCCATTCCCCACTATCATCCAGTCAGAGCTGAAGAAGCTTCTTGAATGAGAAGCAAAATGCCTTCAAAGAAAAAAACAAGAAAGTCCAGTTGCCTCCTGAAAAAGCACTTTTGGGATCCCTCTGACTGGTGTGAGGAACCCCCGCCCCCGTCCAGGATTTGATCACTTCATTTTGCCAATGCTTAACTGAAATCAATCTCCTAAGTCATCAGATAGTCCTTGCTCAATGACCGCAATTGGGATGGCAACTCCATCCCAATTGTGATAAGTCACCAAGTGATAAGTCATAGATCATAAGATACAATCATAAACATAAGATACAGACAACAATTGATAAACCATAATATACCAATAGGAGAAGGTAGTAGAAAAGATGAGAAGGATAAGAAGGTGATAAGGATAACAGCAATACAGCCTACTACACAGGTAAATGCAGGGTGCGCTTCAGAAATTTTAGCAAGGGATTCTCTGCCCAGTTGCTGCGTGGGCATAGCCATGGTGGACATGGCCTAGTCGGCCTCCTGCACCACGGCGGGGGGAGGGGGCGTTTTTGCCCTCCCTGAGCTCCGGAGGCTTTCCTTGAGCCTCTGGGAAGGTGAAAATGGTCTCCCCAGGCTCCAGAGGGTCTCTGGAGGCCGGAAACGGTTTCCGGCCTTCCCGAACTTCCCATAGGCCCATTTTTCACCCTCCCTGAGCTTCCGCACACGCCCTGCACTTACCTGCATCCAAAACAGACCGCGAGGGGATTCCTGGGAGGGGCGGGGTGGGGTTGGCAGTGCCAGTCAGAAGTGGGATTTTGGGGTTCTCTGAACTGCACAGAATCTTAGCTAAAAGGTTCTTCCGAACCCATGCGAACCCCCAGCAGCCCACCCCTGGGTAAATATCTTTAGGCATAAGACAGTGCTGTAGAATCAGGTGTTTAGCAGAGTGATGGCACAGGGAAAAAAAACTATCTGTGTCTAGTTCTTTTGGCGTGCAATGCCCTACAGTGGCGTCTTGAGAGAAGAAATTGAAATAGTTTATGTCCAGGATATGAGGGGTCTGTAGATACTTTCTCAGCCCTCTTTCTGGTTTGTGCTGTATACAGATCCTCAATAGAAGGCAAGATATTGGGGTTTTTTTCTGCAGTCCTAACTATCCGTTGAAGTCTGTACCCATCCTGCCATGCCAATACAGTTGTTAAGCAAGACATCATGTGACTGTGATGGACTTGCAACCTCACTTCTGCCACAGTTGTTAAGAGACTCACTCATGGTCAGTAAGCAAGACATTGAGTGACCGTGATTTGCAATTTCGCTGCCGGCTTCTCTATTGACTTTGCTTGTTGGAAACTGGCTGCGAGATGTGCAAATGTGATCGTGGGATATGGTAAGTCATAAATCCTGCTGGCTATGAAGCACCCAAGTCTCAATCATGGGACTGTGGGATGCTACAATGGTTGTAAGTGCGAGGACTGTCCAAAAAGTTACTTTTTCAGCACCGTTATAGCATTGAACGGTTTCTAAACTGACCTGTTTAGAAATGAGCGAGGAGTATTTGTATCAGAAAAGTGTTATTGGAGCAAATCAAAGGAGGATAGTGCTAGTAAAAGCTGCTAGCTTTATCGCCAATAAAAGATGAGAAGTTTTCTTGGTATCACTTGTCAGGAAACACAAGTTAAGGGATACTGTCTCCCTCATATTCTTCTCTTGTGAATGTATTTGACCAGTTATCAAAAACAGTATTGGAGTAGATGGATTTTTAGATTTGACGCCGTGCAATTATTCTTAGGTTCTTAAATTTAAAAGTTTATTTTACATTCCATTCTTTAATTTTTGACTCAGTTGGCTGTTTTCTCAAGAGTTTATCCCTTTGAAATGATCCAGAACTATGCAACTCCCTGCAACTGCTTATGGACAGTTCAGATGGATTCTTTGGGAAATGTTGCTTATATGCATTGTTCTCTGGGCATTGTTAAACTGGGTGTGGGCATGGCCAGTGCGTGATACATCCGGCCCGTGGACACTGAGTTTGACAGCCCTGTTCTAAGCAATCACAGTTTGGTGATCTATTTTACAGCTCAACAGGTTCCATTCAAAACAGGTGGTCTCTTGTGCCCAGAAGTTCAGCAGGGAAGATTGAAGCAACTGAGGTGTTTATTAAAAATGGCTGCTTTTTATGAAAAGAGTCCCTTTGCCAGAGAATCAAAGATACAACTGGGGTGGGTTCTACTTACCTTTACTATCGGTTCACAACGGGGCCACGCGCGCTTCTGCAGATGCGCAGAAGCTTCCTGAAGACGTTGGGGTCGGTGAGCGGAGCCTCCCGCCCAGTGGTGAAATGTAAAATTTGTTACTACCGGCTCTGTGGGTGTGGCTTGGTGGTGGTGGGGTAATGTGACTGGATGGGCATGGCCAACTTTTTTTTTTTTTACTTTTAAAACCATTTTTTTCTACAACCTCTTCAGCTGAAGAGGTTGTAGAAAAAAATGCTTTTAAAAGCCTCTGACGATCCCAGCTGAGCCGCGCGATCATCAGAGGCTTTTTTTTTTTTACTTTTAAAGGCATGAAAAAGTGCTTTTAAAAATTAAAAAAAACCCTCTGATGATTGCGCAGCTCAGCTGGGCATGGGGGGAGAGGGGGCAGGGATTTTTGCTACCAGTTCTCCGAACCACCCATCGCCATCGCTACCGGATTGGGCGATTCGGTCCAAACCGGGAGCATTTCACCCCTGCTCCCGCCGGTTTTACTACTGGTTCTATAGAACTGGTCTGAACTGGGGGCAACCCACCACTGTGCTTACCATCGTTTTTGTCCCTAAACAAAATACCAAATTGTATTTATAGAAATATTAAAAAATCGATAACAGGTTGTAGGGAGGGGATGGCTGGGATTGAGTATCTCTGTATTTAGAGGGAACAGCCAACAGAATATCAGAATGAGAATTATTCCTATCTGGGATTTAACAATTTCATTTTATTCTGCCTCCAAGAATTGGCCAGCATTATGTTATCCCTGAATGTGCTCAGTCTTTTTCCTTTTTTCTCATGTCTCATTTTTCTCCCCCCAAAAAAATGCTTGGTTCACTTTTGCTGCCTCAGTTCTCCCCAGACTCATGATCACTGTCTGTTGGTGGAAATGATGTAATTTTGGGTTACCTCACCATGCCAAGCCCAGACTGATTGTTGGAAATAAGGAATTGAGGATACATATGACATTAAATAAGGAAGAACGGTCAATAATTAAACTGTGCCAGGTTCCTCCTCTCATTCATGTCTACTTCTGGAAGCGATACGAGATGGGAATTAAATTGGAGAGGAGATGTGGTAAGAAAGATGCAGCTTCATTACAGATAAATTGTTCTAGCTGTGCAATTTTACTAACCTAATAAACCCAGCTGAGTTATCTGGAATTTACTCCAGGGTAACTACATGTAACATTCCAGCTAATGACTATTGCATAATCCAGGCTGATTACAGATTCCAATGTATTCTGCTGCAGAAATCAGGTTGTCCAGGAGCCAAAATGTGCCACTGTGTTTCTTTAAAGGACCAAGTCTTGTTTCAGGATCCTTCACTCTTTCACATCCAGATTCTAGGAGAATGGTGTAATAAGGCGTCCTTGGTGTTCTCTGAGCTTGGTTGTTTCCTTGAAGACATTTCATTACCCAACCAGGTAACATCATCGGTGCACAGATGATGTAAGTTTAGTTTCTTGGCAAAACTGAAGAACTGGAGGATGCAGCTTTACTAAAGCTACTAAAATCTTGACCGTATTGCTTTTGTCTCTACTTACAGGATTCCACGTGATTCCAACCCTTTCCAGCATAGTTCCTGAGAGCTGCTTACTCATTGTCGTAGGACTGCTGGTTGGTGCACTCATTAAAGCCGTGGGAGAAACCCCTCCAGTCCTAAATTCCGAAGTCTTCTTCCTCTTCCTCCTCCCACCCATCATCCTGGACGCTGGTTACTTCTTGCCCTTGCGCCAATTCACTGAGAACGTGGGCACCATCTTGATTTTCGCGGTGATTGGGACATTATGGAATGCTTTCTTCGTAGGGTCTCTGATGTACGCCGTGTGCCGGATAGGTGGTCCTCTTTTATCAGACATTGGCCTCTTGGACAACCTGCTCTTTGGCAGCATCATCTCCGCGGTGGACCCTGTGGCTGTGCTGGCTGTATTTGAGGAGATTCACATCAATGAACTTTTGCACATCTTGGTGTTTGGCGAGTCGTTGCTGAATGACGCCGTTACTGTGGTAAGTAGAGAGCACAGCTTTGGCAGAGCTGGCTCTGTCCTGGAATAAAGGAAGATTTTGTGGATTTGAGCACTGCTGAAGGCAGCAAAGGAGGAGGAGACACCTAAAATGTCTTGTGCACGATTCAACCAGGGGTGAAATGCTACCGGTTCACTCCGATTCAGGCGAACCGGTAGTTAAAAACAGCTACCGTTTCCTCCGAACCAGTATTTCCTACGATCAGTTGTGAAGCGGGGTTTAGCTTTGCTAGAAAGCAGGAAATCCTGCTTTCCAGCAAAGCTAAACTGCCCTGCACAGCTGATCCCTCCCCCGCTGTTTTACTTACCTTCCCAAGCCTTCTTTTGGCATGTACTGCACATGTGTGTTCTGTGCATGCGCATGCACATGCGCACAGAGCGCATGTTTGGTGTGCACTGCGTGTGTGCATGCAGCACGCATTTGGCGCACTGCACATGCGCACACAGTATGCATTTGGCACACAATGCGCAGCCAGAGAACTGGTACCAGACCAGTTCGGATTTCACCACTGGATTCAACACAATGTTCATACTGCCAAAGAAACACACTGCATGCGGGCATTGATGTAGGGATTATTAGTCGAGAGATTTCTGTCTCCAGAAGGGATCAGCTGATGCCAAGGGAACCTCAAAGGAAGGATCACTTTGCCTTTTGATTTCTTAGCATCCTTAAACTCTTAGCTTCTCTTGGTCAGAAATATCCTGTGTCTGTTCAGGATGAAGTGAACATTCATTTGACAGGCACCTACTTCTTGTCCTCCTAAATATTAGAGAGCCCAGGGATAGAAAACCGAGTTTGTCTGCAGAAGATCACAGATAATGTTGTGGCCCGTCAGCGGCCTGTGCAGCTAGTAGCTGATTCCAACAGCGAGGAGGCTGGTGTGGTGCTGGGCCAGCAGCCTGTGCAGCTGGCACTCGAGTCAGACAATGAGGAGGCTGCAGAAGATGTGGTGCCAGAGGCGGGGATTCAGCCAGAGCCTTCAGAACCTCCAGAAGCTCCCATAAGTGAAGAGGAAGAAGAGGAGGACCCTCTTCTTGATGCACGGGTGCGCAGAGCTGCCAAAAGGCAGGAGTGGTTCTTGTGAACCGGTAGTGGAGATTTTGAGTAGTTCGGCGAACCAGTAAATACCATCTCTGCCTGGCCCTGCCCCCAATCTATTCGCTGCCTCCCAGGTCCCAGCTGATTGGCTAGAAGGAAAAATTCAGGGCTCACTTGACAAAGAAGAGAAAAAACAACAACAAGATACAGTCGTTTTAAATTGAGAAGCCAAGAAGCCTCCCAACTGATCGGCTAGAATCGATCCGTCCTTATAAATTGCTCGGTGGTGGTAGATTGGCAATTGAGGCCAAGCTGCCTGAAAACGGTTTCCGATGCTCTCAGTGATGGCAGAGCGGAAAAAAACTATTTAAACTCTTGCCGCGGCGCTTCAAAGGGCCGCCATACAGCTGATCAGCGGTAAAAGGCAGTGTGGTGGTAGACCGGTGCCTCCAAAAACAAATGGGTAGACCAGTGCCTGCAAAAATAAATGGGTAGACTGGTGCCTCCAAAAACAAATGAGTAGACCGGTACAGCTCTGCAAGCAGTTAAAAGCCTGGTAGACCAGTACCTCTGCTAAATCCTAAAGAATTGTTTGTCACATGACCACCAAACCACGCCCACAAAATAAGCCACGCCCACAGAACCGGTAGTAAAAAATTTTAGAACCCACCCCTGATTCCATCAGTTTGTAGATTTAATTTATTTAATTTAAGAGCTTCAGATAAGTGGGTAGAAAGGTCCACTCTAAAGATCAGAGGACCTGCTGCCGGCCACTGTTAACAGTACTGAAGTAGTTGGCCCAAGAGATTGGCCTGAATATGGGAATTCATTTACTGTAGTCATGGCTAATGGACTTCATAATACATTGGTTGAAACCTTACTACCCTTTTTAAAAATTAAAGCATTCATTCCAGCCTCTTAATCAGAGATTCCCCCAGTGCCTAGCAATATTTATCCAAAATCCAATAGAAAACGATAAAGCCCCAAACATAATTTGCAACAAGTGAAACTAAAATAGCTAATGGGCCACTAAAAAAAGCCTTTGAGGACATCAACAGATACTTAGCAACTGGAAAAAGATGACGGCTCTCTAAAGGTGAAGCCTGCTAAATGTCAGAAACCAAAGGCAAAGTTCGGGCAAAATCTTTTAACTTCACGAAACACACTCGTGCATTTGTTTTTAAATTTACTGCATTATATTTCAGGTAGTCTAATACCTTATTTATTTAAAACAAGGTAGTCCTCAAACTAAGGTCATTCATTTAGCGACCATTCAAACCTATGATGACACTGAAAAAAGTGACTTACAACAGGTACTCACATTTAAAACCATTGCATTATTCCCATGGTCACAGGATCAACATTCAGGGGCTTGGCAATTTTAACAGATTAACAGAGTTGGAAGGGACCTTCTAGGTCATCTAGTCCAACCCCGCCCCCAATTGGCATATATTTACTAGGATTGCAGAATCCCAGGGTCATGTGACCACCATTTGCCTTTATTGTATTTCATTTTATATTTTATTTCATTTTTTAAATTTGTGTGCCTCCTGTCTCATCTAGAAATGACTCTCGATGGCTAACAGAAGAGATAAACATTAAAATGATAAAACAATAATTAACAATAATAACGATAATTTACAATTTAAAAATGGGAGGAAGGGAGCACAAAGTACATGGGGAGAGGTGGGGTCTTCTCTTAATCTAGTAGCCGCCTCCAGAGTGGTGCCCCTTCCCGTTCAGGCCAACTGGTAGAGCCAGGTCTTCAGGTCCTTATGGAAGATCAGGAGGGTGGGTGCGGATCTCACCTAGAGGGTTTGCCCTAGCTTACAATTAGTTTAATTTAGTTTAGTTTATTGTCATTGCACGTCGTACAACGAAATTAAATGCCATCTTCAGTGTACATTATAACTATAAAAATAAAACACAAACACACATCCTTCACATTCTATACAATTGAATTGAAAACCCCTGATATTGCAATATTGTACTATACAGTAGAATTCAATATGGTTATTGCCCTGGGATAGAAACGGTTTTTCAGCCTATTTGTCCTTGTTTTTATTATCCTGTACCGTCTGCCAGATGGTAATAGTTCAAAAAAAAAAAGGGTGCCCAGGATAAGAAGGGTCTTTAAGAATGTTTTGAACTTCCTTAAGGCAGCGGGAGCTATAAAGCTCTTCCAAAGAGGGGAGAGGCAACCAATGATCCTCTGGGCAATGACGTTGACCCTCTGGAGCGCTGTCCTATCTGCCACTGTGCAACTGGCAAACCATACACAGGTGCAGTAAGTTAAAATGCTCTCTATGGTGCAGCAGTAGAAGGTCACCAGCAGTTTTTCATTCAGTTGTTGTTTCCTGAGAAGTCTCAAGTAGTTTAATCTCTGCTGGGCCCTTTTGACCAGTGCTGCAATGTGAGCGCCCCAGGTCAGGTCCTCTTTTATGGTAACACCCAGATCTCAGCAGTTCTGTGCAAGATGCAATTAAAACTCAGCAAACACAGTTCAGCTCTTTGCAGAATGCTGGTTTATTCACATCGGCTTCCAGACACATGCTGCGATTCGCATAAACGAACGAAATCGGCGCTATGGACCCCTGACGGTGAGCGTTTAAATAGCCCACCCGTTCATTACTGCCATTTCCTCCTTTAATAACACGCCCTTGTTGTTATCACCACACCCTCCTCATCAGCATATTGGCCGTCGGTGTGCTCTGGAGCGTTCTTCCGCAACAACGTTCAGGAATCGCTCTACAACCGTCACACACGGCACCTCCACCCCACACCTCGCACACGACCGCCTGCACCCAGTGCCACCATCACCCCGTGTGTATATATATATATCTTCTGTATATCTTTTGCTGCTGTCATCGCAGTCAGTGTTGTCGAGCGTGCTGCGAGGCTCGACACCAGAAACTTAAAACTGGCCACTTGCTCCACTCAGTCTCCATTTTTCAAGCAAGGGCCGGATGTCTGATCTGTTCCTTCTATAGTCCACTATAAGCTCCTTGGTCTTATTGGTGTTAAGGACCAAGTTATTGTCTCCACACCACGAAAGCAACCAGATGAGAAAATTGGCAGGTTTATGTTACATTTCACAGCTCTGTGAGCAATTCTGAACATAGTTTTGGTTGAAGTAATTCTGAATTATGGATGGAAGGATATAAAAGACCAGCCTCCCAGACAAGGGAAATTGGCCAATTGGTAGTGTGGCAAGATGTGGACAACTTAGCAGCAAGGATTACTTATGAGATGACTTGTATAAAGCAAGGGCCTGTTGGAATGACCTGAAAATAAATTGGTTGGGTAATCACTTGAGTTGATCGGGGGAGGTTTGTTGTTAGTGGACAGGTTAACAAATTATTAAGAGTTGGAAAGGCAATTGTTTGTTCTGTGTAGCTGTCATGTAGCTCTTTTGAGATCCAGTTCTCTGCTGTTTTAGATATAAGGATCAGCCCTATTAGTAGAGCGAGAGAGTGCTACCTCCAATAGCAGACACCAAAGGATGAAGGAGGATTGTGATGTCTGGAAGGACAATGCTATATTGTGCTTCATGGTCTTTCTGTCAGGTTTCGATGTCATCTCAAATAAATTGCACTCCCAAACAATTAATCTTTGCTGAAATATTCCATTTATTGAGTATGACAGATCTGGCCCCGACTTCGTCGTAGCCGATACTAACCCTCTGACCCCCAAACCCTTCCTTTTCCGTTCCCCAATTCTCATCTTCTCATTGGCCATCTTCCAAGTCAGTCTCCCCAGCTTCTGATCTCACCCCACAGGAATGTTCCCCCCTCCCATCCCATCTCCTAGGGGATATTATCTACAGAGAAAATAAGTAGGTGAAAAGTCAACCCTCGTCTTTTTATGGCAGCATCAGAATGCTGACACTTTCCTTACCAACTCTTAGAGGTAGACTGGACAAGAGGCATCAGCCATGAGTACTA